CGCAAGTGCGCTAACCGGTGCTCTGTCTGGAACGCACACGCACACAAACGCGTATCTCGTATAGATAGACCACAACGACTGATGTATTGTTCTGGAATGGCTGCAGGATTGACATTTGGCACAAATATAGTCGTGCCTATGTCTGTCGTGATTGCAAGTCGACAAAGAGTGAAATTGTCTAATTTGGACCTCGCCAATTGCACGAGGTCGGATGATGATGGGTTTCGCTGAGAAGGCGGTCAGCCTCGAGGTCCACGTCTCTTCGCCGTCTCGAGACACCTTCCACCTGATAAGTGACCCAACAGTGGTTCGACACCGGTGGAGTGTGACGCCAAAGTTGACGGAATGCGGGCAACATCTTGCTGCTGGCTACTCGTATTGTATACAAAGACAAAGATCCCCCTTATAGCCTTCACAGGCTGTTGGGGCAAGTCGGGTCGCTGGGTTTACAGCGCAGCGCGCTAACTGTTACGCTACACGTGCATGTGCAATTGTCCGAATTGATTAACTCCTGTGCATGTACACTTATTTTTGTATGCAAAATGATAATATTTAATTAAATAAAATTATTTACGTGGCTTTACCGAAAGACCCAGAGAATATAATAATAGTTAACTAACATTCAATGCACTTGTGTTTAAGTGCATTCTTAACATATACGCATAGTACACATCGGAATGAGATGCATTGTATGTTGGTGATTATTTGTGTTTGCGCGCGTATTTTGTTCAAATATTTGTAACGAATTGGGTTCGATTCCTGGCCACCGCTAAAAATCAGTGGGCCAAGTGATGTTCTGAACCAATCCTGGGTAACCCAACGCCCCCTTCATCATCAACTCGCACTGAGCGGCGTGGTAACATCGAGCTCGTATAGCTCCAACAGCAACAACAACAACGACCCCGTGTGAATTACACGGTGCACCAGGAGGCCAACATTCAGCGCCGCATTGCCCCAAAGGCTGCAATAGCACAACCACGCGTTGCAATAACAACGGTGCGTGCTACCCTCGACAGCGGCGAGGGTTGCGCAACGCAAGGCGATGATATTGCGTAGTAAACCTCTTATGATCGAAGATCCCCGCGATCAGCTCGCGCGTGCGTGGTCAGTTTAGTGGGCCACGTGCGTTTGACGGACTGTGAGAGGTGGGGACGTCTTGGGGGGATATCTTCATCCAGCCGTGGATTGATCACGGCTGCTACTGATTCTGATGATCAAAACGTATTATCATGATTATTATTATTGTTATACGAATACGCGTTCATATTGCTGGCACGCCAGACACGGCTGACAGCTGAAGGCTGCGTTGAATGTGTGCGGAGCGGACTCATTGCATTGTGCAGTGCCGGATTATCCTCGTAGCCAAAAGTATCTACACATGTAGTAGCTACTTATGTAGTAACTACATACGTAGTAACTACATGTGTAGTGGCTACGGGCCGCGCACTTTCAAGGGCCCCGCGCTAAATGCTTTCAAGCTATCAATTCTGGTTCAGTGATTCTGCACTTGCTCTATTACTATAGTACTATACCACCTTCAACCTTTATGAACGACTGGGTGTTTAAGGTTAGCGATTTGTCGTATTATCTGGCTGTATAGCAAATGAAAAAATACAATTACTTTACTATGCAAGTAAAAAATGTTCTTGTAATATTAATATTTTTGAAAAATAGTTATTTATTTAGGGCCCCTTTAACACATTCCTGCGGAGGGAGCTGGTAGGAACGTTGGGTTGCTCGGTCAATGGCCAGGGTCAACGGCGACGTGGTGTATTCCGCAAATGTGGCCGACTGTGAGGGCGGGCACAAGCCGGCGTGAGTAGGTTAAACGTTGAGTTTTATAAGGGCATCAAGGGGTGACCAGCCCCTCCCCACCCTCCACACCCCTCCCTACCCTCCCCTCTCCACCCAGCCCCACCCCTCCCATGTTTGGATGCACGACGGACGGACGGACACAATAATCCCCTGTGGGCTGGTGTAACCAGGAGATTCCTACCAGTATAACATTTGCTCCAAACCCCGAACGAGCTGCATCCGGCACTGGCATTACGCATTGTCTGGTGATGCCACCGTGGCTGCTGACTTGAGTTGGAAGTGGTGCACAAGCACGGACAATGAAACACGAAACAACTCATTCGTCAAAAACACTTTGGCCTTTGAAAGGAAACGTATACCGCAGGCGACGTTTCGGGCAATGGTCCTTCACAGCACTTAGGGAGGGTCGGAGATTTTTAATCAAACAGGTTAATTGACTGAAACGTCACCTATTGTTATTTTGTTGTCATTTCCCCACACCTCTTATTAAACAAAAACATAACAAAGACAAAGACCCCCCCCCCCGATATAGCATTTAACAGACTGTTGGGGCAAGTGCTGTTAGCGAGCAGCTATGAAGGCCGCCACGGCACACGAGGGGGTGGGTGCTTTACACATCGCACCAGGTACTCATCTGAGGTTGAGTCGACCTAGGGGAGGCCCAGGACCGGTTCGGATAATTGCCACCGGTGTTGGCCGTGAGCAGAAATCACGTAAACAATGTGATGCCATTTGTATTGAAGGTCTATCAGTAATATTTGCTACAGGTTTATATCGTTTGTAGACAGTGACACTTTAGTAACACTGCTGTGAACGATACCGTTAGGCTCACGTAACAATGAATAATATTGTAGAGATATTCGTTTTTAAATCCTTTATATTAAGTTTGCTTGCTTGCTTGCTTGCGTGCTTGCGTGCTTGCTTGCTTGCTTACGACCGTGCAAATCTTTCGGTCGTTTTTTAACCCACTTCCCGTGATCCAATCGAGCTGACATTTTGCACACAGACTCGTTGTGCGAGACAATTAATGTTCGTGAAATTTATTTTTTTCCAAAATTTTACACAGTTTAGGGAAAACAAATTAAATATTTAATTACCAATTTCTTAATACTGGCAGACAATCATCTGACCCATAGGTGGCAGCCATCTCAAGCCAGAGGACGAAAGGACTCTAGCCGCCACGCATATAAAGGATTTATAGTGAAAAACTTTGTTTTTACTGGTTATACTTATTTCGACTGCTTCATGAAGGCCTCCCCACATTGCATTGATTGACCATACTTCACCACACTGGTCAGCACACGTTGGTGAAGTGGATGAGTGGACCCAAACCGGTTCAGATATTGACTTAAAGCTTTCGTGACTGCAGGAATTCATATTCTTTGGGTCTTTCGGTAAAGTCACGTACATAGGTTCAAATTAATAAAAAAAATAAACACAAAAACTACGACGGTGATCGTCATCAGGAGGATGACGATCGCTTGTGTTGTGATCGAAACGTAGTTTTATTTTATTTTAATTAATTTAAACGTATCTACGTGACTGTACCGAAAGACCCAAAGAATACGGTTCAGGTATTGCTACTCACTGCTGATGTTATCCATGGCTCAGGCTGCAAGGTGCATGGTGCAGTGCGCTAACCGCTGTGCCACTACTCCATCAAACTATTGAGATCGTGTCAAGGTCCATCGCTCACGCCTTCAGTGTTTGTAAACAAAAGTATTTAGTTTCTGCTTTTGGTCACTGTAGCTTAGATTAAAACTATGCTTACATTTCAACAAAGAAGTCGACACTTTTGGTAAGCCTGAACTATGTGCAGAAAGATATTAACTTTTTTTAAATCCAGCCCTGCAACGCAGTATATATTTGACAATGCGTGTAAATATGAATCCTGATTTTGCAAAAAGAAAACACATTTACATGGTTCTTAAAATTCAGCCAAACAATGGAGAAGTTAGTTAACTACGTTGCAGCAATACCGTATATCATAAATAGTTCAAATACATTTAAAGAAAGTAATAATCAATAGTATTAATAATAACGTATATCTCTTTGTTAATCAACAGCTAGATGAAGACCTCCCCACATTCCGTACACGTTCAGAATGTGTAATAATTATCACGTGAATCAGAAACAAGAACATTGACAAAGCGGGCGGAACAAAAGCTGAATAGTGTGCAAAGAAGCACGTGGAGATGGATGCTTTTAATTTCACTGCGAGGTGGGAAGAGGAACACACAGAGTAGGGGACGTGTGTAAAGTAAAATACATGATATATTGACTGTGAAAGACAAGCAGATTGGGATGATGGCCTGTGGTTGATGGAGTGGCAGCCCAGAGTGGCGGTTGCGCTAAATGACCATTCCACTGTTAGTAGGTTTTAACCCTTTAAACTGGTACAAAACCTGGCACCTTTATACAAGGCATCATGTTTGCAATAACCACAACACAAGCAGTCAAAATGCAAACAATAAGAAACAACTCTGATGATGATATGCACTGTCCTTGAAGTTGATTGGTCCACACCCGAGACAGCTTTTCTTAGAGCCTAGTCTCCATTGGTGTTGGACCAGATGACGCCAAAAGGCGTATAACTAAAAAACAGTGCACTATCAGAGTATTGAGAGCTCGGGGTAAGCATTACACTATGAGACCTCCTTTACCAGTGGCAAAATATAGTAGTATATTTTGCCACCGTTTAAAGGTTAAAAACTTATTACTATATTTTGCCACTGGTAAAGGAGGTCTCATTGTGACCATTCCACTGTGGAGATGAAGCGATGAAATCGGCTCGTGCGCAGGTGCTGGATGAATAGTTACATTGTGTCATCTAGCAGCAAATAGATCCCGGCTCAAAATGATCAAATTAATAAACACATTATATCTATGTAGAACCTATTTCGCACCGTACGTAGCCAACCGTGCTAATCGGAGGTGCTGGAGAAAGACAACAAACTAAACACAAAAAGCAGCTCTGAAGAAATGTTAAACTTTGATTTAAAAAATCTGAAGAACGCACTTCACAATTGAATTATACCCTTTGTGTGCAGTTGTTGAATTCCAGGACCTTGTATAACCATATGTCCATGTCGCTCTCTCTGTCCTTTACCTTTTCTCTCTCTTTGCTTTGTCTCTCCCACTCTCTCCTCTCTCTCTCTCGATCCCTCCCCCCGCCAATACATCAGGTCTGGTTCCAGAACCGCCGTGCGAAATGGCGCAAGAGAGAACGGTTCGGACAGATGCAGCAAGTGAGGAACCACTTTGCGGCCGCCTACGAGCTGCCGGTCATGCCCAGAGCCGACAACTACGGCCACGCACAGGTACAGGGCGTCCCTCGACACAACGCTGTGCTGCCGCAGAACGAGAGACTGTCCGTGCGAATCACTTGCCCCCCCCAAAAAGTATCTAAAGATTATACGGTTGTACGGGTGGGGTGGGAATATTTGTCTTTACTGTGTTTGGCTATCAACAACAAGGCAACTCCTATGACTAATTGGGAATGGGATGCAAGCGTAGGATTGATCACCTTGTCGCTGGCCGCCTTTGGGGAGGGTGTATAGTGTGAAAGGCCGAAACACCCTCGGAACCAAAGGGTCACTACTGACGATGCGCTCCCCAAATTTCACCAGGCTCACTGTTCATGAACTCTTGGAAGTGCTTGCACAAAGGATAGTAACATCTCATCCTGTGTTCTTGGAATCTGGGGAGCGGTCTCGGCCAACACCAGTGACGATTATCTGAATCGGTCCAGGACCTCCTCTCTAGGTCGACTCAGCCTCAAATGAGTACCTGATAATGGTGTGTAAACATTGCCACTGGGGATACAAAGGCGGCCGGGCGTGGTGTTAGCCACCCACCCCTTAGTGTGAAGTGCCAGCCTTCATATGAGCTCCTTTCTAACAGTGTTTGCCCTAACAGTCTGTTAATGGCTTTACAGGGGATCTTTGTCTTTTACGTGTAGAATTAGAATTGGTGCTTCGTATCAGCTAGAATAGTCCGGAAATTATATTGGCACGCCATAACCATCTCACCTTGTGTTGTGCCCATGCCACTACTTTTTATAAACCTGTTCATACGATTCTTGTAATATAGGGTACAATAACATATGGTTAATATAGATGTGCATTCCTTGTACTCTAGTGGTAGTGCCTTATGCCGATAATCCCTACTCCAAGCCAGCCTGGCAGTGTCTTGAAAAATATCGAGTGAGAAATGTCAGCCCTGGTGAAGACGGGGAGCTGGGATCCGTGGGAGCATAGAGACACAGTACAACAATGGACTTTCCTTCACTGCCCTCTGCTGACCACCACGTAGTGCGGCTCCACAGCTGCCGACTATAAATATCCCACACACCTGGCTGAGCTGAGCCAGGCTGAGCCAGGTGTGTGACAGTAATTGTTAAGCCACTGCTGGATCAAGGCCCCCTTAGTCTGTTTGATCATACTTCACCACACTGGTCAGTTCGAGTTGGTGAAGATAAATGTCAGGTTGGGGTACCCAGCAAACGTTCAGAAATCTCTTGCCACTGATATTAGCAGTGCCTGGGGATCAATCTCAGGGCGCTAACCGCTGCACCACCACTCCAACCCTTCTCGTGAAATGTACTGCGTATATAAATACACAAATGTAGAAAAAAACCTGGAGATACCAGACTTTCTCCTTGGCAGACATTTGTCTTCCGTTCAAACGTATTGTATCGTCATCACTGTCATTGACACGTAATTTAGCTGCACCCACTCACAAATTAGCTGTGCTGAGGAATGTGGGGGGGGGAGCGTGATTCACACGATTGAAAGACGGAGGGACATTTCCTCCCTACGCCACTCAATTACCCTCTCGATGTAACCCCTGAAAGGCCATTTGCCAATGAGCAAAGCACCTGCAATGTCCCTGATCTTGTCAGATCTCTGACGCTAAGTAGAGTTGAGGCTAGACATGTGTTTGGATGGGCAGACGACCACCACCACCACCACCACGGATGATCCCGGTGTTGTAGGCTGCTACGGGGCTGTTGTGAGCAAGAAGGCAGTGCAGCAAGATATATTGTTGTACTGTACTATGTTCCAGCATCTATTGCCCCCACATCGTCGAGCACAGTCAAACTACGGTCAAACAAACCCGCGTGATCCGCACCACGTTTTTTTCTTTGGTTTAGGTTTTATTTTTGGCACAGCTAAAAACACAGTGGGCAATACATGCTCATTTTCGATGAGGGACCGGGTTACACCGAAGATGCCTGGTTACAGCCACAACAACAACAACAACAAAAACACATGAACAATCCAAAAACAACCGTACGTGGGCAAGCTGCCAATGGCAAGGGCGTGGGGGCTGCCCTCATCCAGCAGTGAATAGACAAAAGGGCTTGCACGTGCACGTACATTGGCACCTCCTCTGAAGCGCGGTTGGCTCCGTACGGTGCGAAAGAAGTTCAGCATACGTACGCACAAAGACAGCTGGCGTCAATTTGAGAAGTCAAGAAATATTACAGGGGTTGGGGGCGGGGGGGGGGGTTGAGTGGCGGATAGGGGGGATGGGGGGGGAGCTGCAACGCACTGCGAGGAGGAACTGGAGCCCAGCGCCATAACCCCCCCCTAATTCACGGTCGTGTTTCTGCTCGCGAAACAAGACATCCCTTGTGCGCGATTAAAAAGGCCAGGGGGTGGCAAGGCGTGTCGCCAATCCAGCGAAGCGCTTCGTGTTTGTCTTGGGGCGGTGGGGGGGGTTAAGCCAGGGCCTCGACGCCTCGCCGCGACCAACCAGGTGCCGTGGTCCGAGTCCCACCGGGGAAGGGGGAGGGGGCCGAAACGTCGTTACCACCAAGAGGCTCGCAGCGCTCCGTCTCCCGACAACGGCGTCTGCTCGCCGCGGAAATCTCCCTTCGATTTACGACGCGGAATAACCATGATGATAATTACGATCGTCGCCACGAGCAGAAACAGTAAAGAGCAGCTTTGCAAGGTCGTTATCTTTTCCTTTGGTTCTTGTTCTATCCGGAGGTGGTGGTGGCTGGGCCGTGTGGATGTTAGGGGCCGATAGATGGCCGAGTGTGCCATACTCAAATCTCACGGAACCCAATATGTAGTGGGTTTCGGTCACGTCGCGAAACCCAGCACGCATTGCCATATGAAAAATTGGTGTCATTTCCACGGTCAGATATCTCCTGTAGTTGGCTCAGCCTGAAACGAGAGGTTGGTACTGTATGTGTAACAATAGAAGATCTATTGGGTGGCCATATGAAGGTGATGGATATCAAACAAGTGTCATTATTTACGATCCATAATTAAGAATAGTAGATTGTGTGTTTTTTTTTTACAAAATGGGACAATACTATGATTGTATATGCAATATTCTTGGTTCTTTAGGTAAAGTCACGTAAATGGGAAACAATAAAAATATAAAACAATACAATTCTCACGACGTTTCGATTGCAACACAAGCAATCATCATCAGGTGTGAAAACCACAGCAAGAAAATTTGAAAAAAGTGGCGTTTTTTCGAAACGTCGTGAGAATTTCATTGTTTAATATTTTTATTATTTTATTGTTTCCCTTCTACGTGACTTTACCGAAAGAGCCAAAAATATGAATCCCTGCAGTCACTAAAGCTTTAAACCAAAATGCATATGCAATTTTTGTCATTTTCGCCCCGTGTTATTCAAATTGCGCTATCACCGCCCGCGCCATGAGACAGACAATCTCTTCGAATCTCTCGCAGAGCAACCCAATCCTTCGTGTCAGAAAAAGGCCCGCGGAAGTGGATATCAAAGAACTAACTCTGCGATCCCTTCACGGTGACCTCTAGTCCACGCAGTAGAGGGGCAGAACTTTGTCCACGTGCTCAACAAATGAGGGTATTGTTCATCACGTGACGGTGAAAGGGAGATGGAATTTAGCCAAATTAAGGGCAGGACTAATTTGAACGCGATGGGGTTTGTTTTGGGCATTCATCAGTGACTTGGCCGACACCGTGAACTCACTGGAATTATTTGTATGATCACAGTTTGTTTTATCGGTTTAGCTCAGGGCAACAATCTTCATGACTGTCAAGCCCCTCCACATAATGTATCGTCATGATTCACGGTCACAAACTTATTTAATTCCTCTTCTTTTTCTTCTTAAAATTGTGAATGCAGTGGCATCTGTTGACTGCGGGCCTCCCATTAACCCACTGCATACGATGTAAACGAATTGATTCACACATCGATTCGTAGACGCACGATTCCACGCGTGTGTCGGTGACTTTAATCGATGCATCATTACACCAACAATAACAAAAAATTTATTTACAAAATTAGTACTTGCAATTGTTTGACGTTGTGATGCAGAAAATGACCAAGAAGGTCTGAAATGGTCCGTAATAAGGTAGGCACTGATATGGGGTTGACAGGTACGTTTAACTTACTCCGCATCGTACGTAGCCAACCGTGCGAATGGAGTGGTCCGGACCACTCGTAAGTCGATTGTAACTGATAATAAAGAATAACATAACGCAATAATTAACAACATGAGCAACACTAAAGACGGGCGATGATGTCATGTCAGCCGCGTAGCGCGAGTGGTGTCATGGCGGCCAAGTTACATGCAGGGTATGTGTCTCCGGCAGGTGATTGGCTGGTGCAGTGGGAGTGATGACGTAATCCCTAGCAACAACTCTTACGTGAGTGAGCGTTGTGACACCCATACGTATTTACCTTGAGCCACGACCTCTTTCTCTCTGATGATCCAATTTAGGATCATAATACATTCGTAGCACGCCAGACTTTTGACAACACATCTTTGAGGGCATTCTCTGTACTCCGGCACTCATACCCTTAGCAGTGCCTACTTTATCACAGACCAATTCAGACCTTATTGGTCACCTCGTGCCCTTATACATCTCAACGTTCATCCTACAAAGTCCCATCACAAGGGAGAAACACAAACAAATAGACAAAAATATTATTATTTTTCGCCCGTATTGAAACGGCTGTATGCCGTATGGACCTGAAATCTCAATTTTCCTGTACAAGAATACCGGTAAACCGGATGGGTTGACAGGGGCGACTTGACATCTGTGAAAAAAAGAGCTTCAATGGCTCATCGGATTCCTCCAGTCTTAAATATTCTGATGCTGATAGTAAGCAATGTTTATACATATGACGTTTGGCATAGGTCAAACAAATGAAACTCAACTTTTTCTCCATGCTCGTCTTATGAGGTTTTGTTGTTGTTGTTGAAAGAAATGTCTGGGGATATTTTAAAGGGGTAAAAACTAAAAGATGCATGTTGAAGAGAAATAAGGTCGTTGAGCGGACTGAAAGCGTGAAATTGTAGCTCGCCAGTGACTTATTTGAGCCATAATTTAAAGAATACAAGGACGCATTGGATGTACAGTCAAAGTATTGAATACACTATCACCATCAGCATCCATAATAAATCCACTGCTGGATGAAGGCATCCAAGCCGTCGCCATCTCTGATGGTATAAAATCTAAAGGGGGAGGGGGCAATGGGTTGACAGCCCCCACCACCTTCCCTCATTCCGACACTGAAAATTGGCATTTTATTCATCTATACCAGATCAAATATAGTGACGTTATTATTATGATTCACTTTCGAGCTGCACTTAAAAAAAAGCTTTACAAATTGGAAATGTCTCCTCTGGGAAGTTTCAACCCACAGTGTTCCCATTATAACAATTACACAACACTGTTCGGTCAGAGTCAATTACATTTCACAAGGGGAGAATGGAGTCATAAGTGACGCCCTGAAGCCTTCAGATAGACAAGTTGAGGTTAGGAATCGGTCCACGGTTGTTTATCACTGCTGCTGTCAGTCGGGGACATTTACTCACATTTATACTGATGGTGACCTAAGGCAAGAAGACCACAATGCACTTGTTCAGGAAACGCCGATAGTTATGTTTGCATAACGCACAGATGCTGAGTACTGTTCACACGGTCTTTTATTTCCTTGTTTGAAACTAAGTGTGCTTGTATCAGAAGTCGCCCTTTAACTTGCCCCACCGAATGTGTGTGTTGCTAATATCAGAACCGTGCTTAAATCAGGTGTGCTTATATCCAGCGTCTGGTGTATCCATTTTGAGTCGAATGGCAACATTAGTTGAGTACAAGCCTTCCAATGTCCACACAATTGCAAGCCGGCTATTTCACTTCAGGCCATGCGATGCGCTTACTCGCCACTTAGCCAGAAGTCGGCGGTTCTGATCCACAGCCTCCCGGTAGCACATCTGTTGATTGAAGCAAGTATCAAAGGTGCACCAGCGGGAACAATGGGGAGCCTAATGAAATACTCAGCAGCCTAAATGAGTTTGGTAAGAGCAGGCCAAAGTAACCCTCTGGATGGAATCTCTGCAGCTCCCTTTAGTGGAGGCCCTTCTGCCAGCAGTGACGTGAGCACGCAATTGCAGGGCTGCACCTTTACCTTGTTTAATATCAAATCAGGGGAGCAGTGGCGCAGTGGTTAGCGCACCGCACTATGAACCTGACGGCCAGAGTTGAATGCCGAGCCTTGGCTAACATCGGTGGCGGGTGATATCAAAACAGGTCACTAGCTTCTCCTCTTCACTAACCATCACAGTGGTGAACTACGGTCAAACTAACTGCCATGACGAACACGGCGTGGAGAGGCTTTCATCCACAAGTGAATTGACAGAGCTTTGATTATTGTCTATTGTTATCATTAGGACACCAAAACATGCAATCTGCAGTACAGTAAATGCTAAATATTAATGTAAACAAAAATTATCGCAATGTTTGTAAGCATAGATCACCATGCACCAATGCCAATGTACTTGCTTGAAAATACACACAGTGATTACTTTGGAATCTTAATATTTATCTCTAAGTTGATTAGATCAATGGTCTCAGTAAATCTATCCAGCATACATACGTTTGTTACAAAACATCAATCATTAATTAGTATGAAACATGCCACTAGATGCTGCAGTTCCATGTAATTATAGAACCACTATAGAATAAAAAACTAAGGTTAAAGGAAATATGATAACTCGAGTCAAATTGAATTATTCTAGGTTGTTGTGCATATTGTTTAAGCTGTATTCATTTTGAGCATCATATTAGGCCATTTCCCAAGCTAGTAATTATCTCAAATACCACTTTGTTCCGGCACTTCGAAATTCACTGCATGAGAGGCGCAGTACAAATAACGGATGATGATGATGATGATAATCAGGTGAGAGTAATATGTTGAATGTCACACTACCAAATAACAATCATGAATAGAAGGTAAAAGTGCAGACCTGCAATGGCTTGCTCATGCCAATGCTGGAGGAAGGGTCCCACTCTTCCACAATGGCCAGGCGTCGTGCAAGGGGTGAAAGTAGCCACACTGTACCGCACCCCAACACGATTTGGTGATCGACTGCGTTGCACCCGTTAATACTGCTGGGTCGACAGAGTTATTTAAAACATTTAACATATTATTAACAAAACGGCTATCAACATGACGAATGTTGGATTATCCAGCAATATGGTTTCAGTCCTGTCTGAATGTCTTAACTTTGCTATTGCCCCATGTACAATCCCTGTCGATGAGATCACTGCTGAAGTGGAATCAGAAATACTCAGATTGTGAATGTTGTGGCTTGGCTCTCCAACACACCGGGGTGCTGTACTAGTGGCATGTTCTGTTTACTTGACAACCCTTACTAGTTGGCTGTGTCGGGTGGTGGCGGGTTTTAACGACACATTTATATATTTACGCGATCTAACCCAAAAAAACTTATGGATGATATTGGTCACGAAAGCCTGCGACGTCTTAAACTGATTTAAGAAACTTGGTCAACAGTCACGTACGTTTACTGTGAAATACGTTACGTTGGAATACAACCAAGAGCAAACTTATTTCTATTTTTGAATGATACTAACTTCCTTCCTTCCTAGCGTTGTTCCCGCTGTGGCGCAGGGTCCGCTTTTCGGCATTGTCTTCTCCATTTGGCTCGGTCCAGGGCATCTTCGGGGAATGCGTTGACCGCATTCATGTCTTGCTTTATTCGGTCCATCCATCGCTTCTTCGGACGTCCGCGTGGACGGCGGCCCTCTGGCTCAATACGCATGGCAGTCTTGGCCACTGATGACTCTTCACTTCGCATCACATGGCCGTACCACCGAAGCCTTGCCTCAAGCATCTTGTCCGCAATGCGGGCCACACCAAGTCGCTTCCGAACGTCTTCGTTCCTGACACGATCCCATCGAGTGAGATCGTGTCAGGAACGAAGACGTTCGGAAGCGATACTAACTGTATAGTAATAATAACGATGACAATACTTACTCCCTCACGTGCAACGGGGCAGTTCTGCGTTACGTGCTGTTGATTGCATATCGGCAACGGGAGCGTCACCCGACTCCCCAACCCCCCTTCTTTCATTCTTTCCACATTCCCAGTCGGGAACAATCCATAGACATCCAAGGGGGGGGGGGGGGGGGCATTGTTTGGCTCTGCCTATCGCAAGCTGAAAATGCCATCGCTTGAAACGCGGCCGCGGCGGCTGGCAAGCGAGGAGCGGGCAGGGATTCGGAATAGACACACAACTGCCAAGGGATAAAATTAAATGTTCGGTTTTTTTTTTGTTTGGGAGGCCCACGCGTGCACACGCCGGCTCTTCGAAGGCACTGGAATGGGCAAGATGCATGGAGATTGAAAAGAGTAAGGCTTCAACTTGTCCCCTGCGTGTCTCAGAAATTCCACATTTGGGGCCCCGTGTACTCTTTGCGATGGCTTCACGGTTTGTTTAGCATCTCCCGGACGGGTTTTGTTTTTTTGCCAAAAGAATATTTTAAAAAAAGTTTCCCACAAATAAACCCTGAAGAATGTCGTGACATTCTGGGCGAATAAATGTTCAAATACATCATAGAAATATATGGGATCTCGTAAATATTTTTTACTCTTAGTGCTGGCGAAGGGCACTAAATTACCAGCGTGCATGGCTCTCCAAGCACCAACAAATCCAGCTTCGTATCCAGAGCCCAGCAAGCGACAGAAAGTTGCTTTTAGTCACCAGTAATGCACAATCCAAGCAGCGACGCTGCCACACGATGTGTCATGGTTTAGCGCAACAGACCCGCAAGATGCAGAGGTTGCAGCATCGTTTCTATCTCCCGGCGTGGCATTGAGCAATCTACATGAGTACATCACGGGTAGTAGACAGGAGATAGAAAGGTCGTGTGTGGTGGGGTAAAGTGGGGGTATCTCCCACCTCTTCCAAGACGAGACGGCCAAAATAGCGTCTAGAGGGGCTCGCTCGAGCTCCCTGGAGTGGAGGCCCCTCCGACAGCAGTGGTGTGATTTAAAGCTTTCGTGACTGCAGGGATTCATCTTCTTGGTTCTTTCGGTAAAGTCACGTAGAAGGGAAATAATAAAATAATAAAAATAAAACATAATAAAATAATTCTCACGACGTTTCGGCCACAACGCAAGCAGCCGTCCTCAGGTGAAGAAGCAGTTGTGTGGGCAAGCATTTGCAGGGCTGCAGCAATGCCTTATAATAACAAATCTAAAGATACTAATAGGGTTTTTCCCTTTTTTTTCTGGCAACAAAACTGACACCTTTTTGCAAGGAATCATGTTTACATTAACCACAATACTTGCAGTCAAATGCAAACAAAAAACAATACTCTAATAATTTATGCATTGTCCT